GTACTTAAGGCCGTTGGTTGATGAGCTCAAGGATTTATGGACAAACGGTGTGCGCACGTACGATAAATCCACTGGGAAGATATTCACTTTGTGGGCAGCAGTTATGTGGATTGTGAATGATTTTCCCGCATATGCAATGGTTTCGGGGTGGAGCACAAAGGGTTATATGACATTCCTTGTATGCAATGAAGATGTAACTTCTGGTTGGCACGCTGGAAAAGTGTGTTACCTTGGTCATCGGAGATGGTTGCCATGGGACCACGAGTGGCGGGAAAAGGATAAAGTGTTCGAAGGGAACACAGAGCATCGCCTCAGACCTAGAGAATGGTCTGGTGATGAGATCTTGGAATAGCTTAACCGTTTGGATTTTGCTCCATTCGGGAAAACAGTTAGTCGGACCAGACCTGCTACACATATGAACTGGACGCACAAGTCTATGTTTTTTGAGCTCCCATATTGGTCGAAACTAAAATTGAGACACAATCTCGACGTCATGCATGTTGAGAAAAATGTGTTTGACACATTGATGGGAACGATTCTAGATATCAAGAGAAAGACAAAGGACACGATAAAAGCTCGTCTTGATTTGGAAAGAATGGGCATACGAAGGGGTTTATGGCTGAAAAGGGGTAGTGATAAATCTATAAGGGATCTTGCATTTTTTTCCATGAAACCGAATGACAACAAAGAGTTTCTACAGTTCATATCGTCTGTATAGTTTCCTGACGGGTATGCTTCTAATATCGCACGTTGCGTGAATGTTGATGAGGGTAAATTTACTGGACTAAAGAGCCACGACTGCCATGTGTTTATGCAACGCCTACTTCCTGTGGGGATTCAACACATATTACCGAAAGATGTAGTCAAGCCAATCGTATTGTTGTCCAGATTTTTTTCCCAACTGACGGCAAAAACGTTGCGAAAGACAAACATTAATCAGTTGCGCCATGACATTGTCCAAGTCCTATGCAAGTTTGAGATGATATTCCCTCCAGCTTTCTTCACAAGTATGATTCACGTGATGGTTCACTTGCCAGAAGAAGTATTGCTTGCTGGTTCAATCAACTATCGTTGGATGTATCCAATAGAAAGGTATATAATCCTCATCATTTCTGTATGCATCATTATCCCATGCTTGCTACTTGCTAATTTGTATGTCTTCGTTTTAATTTGGCATGCTTCTCGGAGAGCTGAAAAAAAGCGTACGCAACAGAGCGAAGCCCGAAGGATTAATTGTAGAGGCTTGGGTTCAATATGAGGCGCTTACTTTCTGTGGAATGTATTTAAAAGATGTGGACACGACTTTCAATCGACCTCAGCGCAATAATGACGGAGGTGTGAGAAATGAGCAACTTTCTGTTTTTGCCCAAAGCGCACGACCATTTGGAGATCCTGTACGAGGAGAGTCGTTTTCCAGAAATGACATGGAGGTAGCTCATTGGTTCGTATTGAAAAATTGCGATGAGATAATGACATACTTAGATGAGCATGAAGAGATGATGAAGCGAGAACATCTATCACATTTGTATTCCAAGAAACACCATGAATTGTTTCCAAAATGGTTTTTGGAATATGTAAGTCAAGCCAAGTGTTTTGTAATTGACATATATATTGTAGTATTTAATTTTCTCAAACTAACATGTGAATGTTTTTGTATAATATTATGTGAATAAGTTGAAATCAGATAATTCCCCCACTTACAGTGAAGAGTTATATAACTTGGCATTTGGGCCAATTAGGGCTGAATTGTTCTTGGATTGCCATGTTAATGGCATCAAATTTTTAGGGACTGCACGAGATGACAAGTTGTGTACGCAAAACAGCGGTGTCCATGTTCCAGGTGGAGGCGAAAGTACGGACATTGATTTCTTTGGCAAACTCACAATTGTCGTGCAATTGCTTTACAAAGACCGATACCAAGTGATCATGTTTTAGTGTCGATGATTTGATACGAACCCAAATAGGCAGGGAAGTATTAAAATCGATCATGGGTTACTATCTGTGAACATGAGCAGAACTTGGTATGATGACGACCCTTACATTTTGTCAAGTATGGCAAAACAGATTGTCTCTCTAGATGACCCTAAAGTAGGGAGCGGGTGGAAAGTTGTTCAACAGATGGATCAGAGGAATGTGTATGCTATACTAGAACTAGACCCATTTGACAACGACGTCGACGTCGCTGACCAACGTTTCGAATCTTCCATGGAAAATGATGCACAAACACTTCTAGATACAAATGTTGCACAAGAACCTTTTCAGCTTGAAGGAGTGTCTTCAAGA